TCCCTGGCAAGCCTGGGCTGTCAGGGAAGCCTGGCCCTAAGGTAAGTTGCTTTCCACATTCCCCCTCTTTACGTCATTTTGCATTACACAAATTTTCTAACGTTAGGGTATTTGAACAGAAGGAACCATTCTCAGTTCCTTGAGCATCTTGAGAATGAGACCAATTCTTTTGTTTTCTTTCTCTTTTACTCCTGATATTCTGGCCAGGATGTAAGGTTAGCATAAGGGACATGTGCTGTGAGAACTATTTCATTAGCACACATTAGTAGTAACTACAGCTAAGTGAAAATGCTTTCTTAATGAGAGAGGCTTTGCAGTTGTGTTCCTGAAAATGAGCCATAGACCCCAACTGAGACTGTTTCCTCTCAGGCCTCGAGATAATCCCATATTTTCCTTATTGTCTTTGAATTTGTAACCTATGTCTCTCTACCTAACCAATTCTAAAGCTTTGCCCAAAACCAGTGAAAAAGAATATTAGGTATTTGAGGTAGCTGGGAACATTCTTGGAAACAGGTTTTCTGTCTGTCTGTGCTTTGCTGTGGGCCAAGGGTGGTGACCTGCTGCCTGCTGTTTCTGGGAGCAGTGACACAGCTCTTCACTTATTCACTCCAGAGAGGAGGGAGCAAATTCCTTCGGTTGTTGTCATTGTTGAAAGTCTGATCACTTTGATTTCAGGTATGGTGTTTCTCAGTAGTTCTAGTTAGATGGACCAGTAATTCTTATAAAAGGACACCAAGTTAGATTTGGTGTTAGGAATTAATCAAGGTGCCGAATGAGGCACCTCTATTACAAGTATAAATTTGCCTATCTGGTTGAACAACGAGAAAATTAACCAAGTTACCTGTAGGGGGAAGATGTACCCTATTCGAGCCTTCTCCGTTTTCAGATAATGTCCTCCTTTTTCAAGTACTTAAAATTCTTTGGAGTTGCCTTCAGGAGTATCACCCCAAAGAATTCTTACATTTTTGCCTTTCCACTCAACATGTCATTTTTCATATCAAAAAAGATTCCATTACTCCATATTAACAATATATAGTAGCATTACAGTTTGTAATAAAGAGAGGCTTTTAACTGATTTTTGCCACAATGAATAAAAAGAACAGAACTTTTGCTATATAAGTTTATCAGTCCATCAGGCTATAAGCCACAGTACCATATTCAAAAGCTCTGAAAATCACATTTAATATAAAAATCCTATTTCCTATAACCCTTTTATTTCTATGAATTCTTAACGGAATGTCATATGAAATAAGAAAGAAGATATATATATATGTATATCTGCTAAATGACATCACAGAAACATTCATTTGGATGGTAGCAAATTTCCATTTTGTATTTTTAACATGTCAAAATTGGCTTAACTCCATGTACTCAGTAACACGTTTTTTCATTAAAAATAGTTGCTTTTGTTTATTGTCTGATGTTCTCATACATTTTCATAACAAATGTTACGATCTTTCTTGATGTGGTAAAGTTATTGTATATGAATCCCTACAAAGTGTACACAATCGTACTAATATTATCAGTATGCCTGGTACTTATAAATAAGCATGTTGAATTTTGAATGTTTCTGAGGGAAGGTAGTCTCATTTTGTTTCTTGACATGCAGTTCCTTCTTAAAGAAATGAATACTGTGAATCTCAACTATATTTTCAGCCCATCTGCAATGAATGAATCCAGCATCTTGTTTTCACCAGAAGGAGCTCCTTATTGTAAGCTCAGAATCCACAGACATCACACAACACTCATCCAAGAACCATCTCAAGGAGTCATCCCCTATAACTAACGGAGATTAGTGCTCTCTTCCTGAATATTTCAAAATAGAGTTAGAAAAGAATTAAATAGGGATCAGCGCTGAAGGCTATTAATCTGAACATGCAAATTTTCAGGTTTGGGAAAAATTTTAGGTCTCTAATATAAACTGTTCTGTATGATTCCCTGTGGGGAGGTAAAAGCAGTCACTGGTATGCCCATGAGTGCTTCCGTATATACTTGGATGCACAATTACTGTGGACAAAAGATTGCTTACTATCCACCTGGGCAGCTATTCCTATTTAGGAGGGTGCTAATCAGGAAGATACCTTGCATAAGCCCAAAGAGGCAATCGATTCTCTTGAATGTTCTCAGAAGTCTTTCAAGGTCTAGGTAGGCGATCCCATACAAATGACATCATGATATTTTAGGGTAGGACAGAACAAGGTTTAAGATCAACACTGAAATGAACAACTGCAGTGGGCTATGGCATGGTTAGCATTTGCTTTGCTGACAATTAGTGACTTGTTAAACTATAATAACTTGACTCCTCTGAAAACTCAATCCACCCCACAGTTAAAGCACATGTAACTTTCTTGATAAGTATGATGGGGCTTTGTGTTTGGAGTATTAGCAGAAATCCAGATGATACTGCTGATCATTGTCTTTCCATATCTTTTGATGTACTATCAATACAGAAAGCATTAAGTGGCTTTGACTGATTTCATGTTACAAGCCTGTTTTAGCACACAATGAAAAAACATGTTTGGCTGTTCTACTTGTAATCAATTATTTTCAATTTAAGGGTACTAAAGGAAACTCAGGCTTACCAGGTCTGGCAGGTTATCCTGGAGCTCGAGGTCCCAAAGGATTACCAGGCATGCCAGGGCCCATGGGAGCACCTGGACTAAAGGTACACACATAGGATCTTGTTTAACTACAGTGTTACTGATATTGCTTAGACTTCATACTGCATCCAGTGATCGTGGAACCACCATGCTACTGTTAATCATATGAGTAATTGACATCAAAACTTATGTGAAGGGTAAGACTGCAAGTTGTGCTGACCTCGTTTATATAAACTGTAATTTGAATACAGAGTTCCCATCCATCTGGATGCTACTCCCAACTCCAGAAGCCATTCAAAACACTTCGTATTTATTCATCCAAAGCTTTAGGGCCAAATGATTCAAGCCCGAGTCCCAAGGTTGGGGGCTAAAAAGCATGTCTGGGATGTTCATTTGTCATAGGACTTAAATTGTTCTTGCTCAGTCCTGTCAGAAAGAAAGAAATCTGAGAGTGCTCCATTTTCCAGGCAGTTCCAGATACCCCGCATCAGCATATCCTGAGCATCTACTGACAATATTAATTAGACTCATTTCAGTGGTAAAAGAAACAAAGAATGGAAACATTACAGATAATTTTCTCCCTTTAGAATAGGATTTTTCATCTAAAATCATGATTTGCAGTGCTCTGAGATTTTATTGGTAAGCAGTTTTTAAAACCTTAAGTTACTTGAAAACTGGGGGAGGGAAATACTGTCTGTTACCTTTTCGTGGAAATATTTTAGCATAAACTGTATTTACTATTTGTTGTGTTTATTGCCAGTGCCCCCACTCTGGATTTTACTCCTTTGTCTAGACAATGAGCCGTAAGAGGTAGTTCCTGCTCAGAAATGCTTGCAATCTGAAAAAGACAGGGAATAATGAGGTGAGGGAAAACAGTTACCACATTGTGCAAAATAAACATTAAGAGTGGACGTACTGAGTGAGACCAAAAGTCTGTCTTTGTCAAAGCAGAAAGGTAACACCTAGGAAAGAGCATAAGTGCAAAGCAAGCATGAAAGGTATATATTCCCAGCCTTAATTTGCAGCTCAATAACATCCTGAACTAGACATGGTTTCTGTGTATTTGATAGTCCTCAGAGGATTTCTCTTGCATGAAGTTGTCTAGTTTCCATTTGAATCGATGTAAACGTTTAGTCTAACAGCAAGGAGTTCCACAACTATACCATGCCTTGCTCAGAGGATTACTTTTTAAATTTACTTCTAACCTTCCTGTTCTACATTTCATTTTGTGCATTTTAGTTCTTGCACTGGGAGATACCATACTGGAAATGATCCAATACGTATGGTTCTTGTATGTTTCCAAGTTAAGGAAGAGTCAAGGCACATTTGCATTTTACTGAAAGTATAATTATTTAAAGTGTTCCGGATGGAAATAAAATTACTAGAGTAGGTTTATTTCTTAGAGAGAAAGCATGTTCCACACTTCTGCCAGGAAACCAATCTTTACATTTATAACTGTCGTAATTTTAATAAAGGATGTATTATGTTCCTATTGACAGGGTGAGAAAGGGCTTCTGGGTCATCCAGGAAAGCGAGGCAAAAGAGGCCTTCCAGGATCACAGGGTGACCAAGGACGAGCAGGAGACGCTGGACTGAAAGGACAGACTGTACGTAATCACAGCTGTTGATGCAAAATAAGTAGTCCAAGAGTTACCAAAACGAAGTAATAATAAGGATGCCTGCTCCTATTACAGGGAGAAGATGGAGATCAAGGTTTGATGGGGTTTCAAGGATTCCCAGGTCCAAAAGTATGTGCTCATCCTTTTCTGTTAGATCTTAAGCCATTTACAGAGTGAGAATATTAGGAAAGCGTAGAACTAATTGGCTTTAACAACACTTTGTTCAAAATCTATCTGAACTGTTGGAACATTGTAGGCAGAACTGTGTACTCCATGTCCAAAGACAAATGTTCTGGGTCAGCGTGCTTGGTATTTTAACTGTTACTGCTCTTAGAAATTATCTTATTTCCACTGATTACAAGAGATTGAAACAAGTGAATAACTAATGTTCATGTTTGAGTAAACTGTTCCTTTGCATTTTCAGGGTCCTGCAGGCGACATTGGCTTAGTTGGAATTCTGGGCCCAAAAGGTCCAACAGGCCAAGTTGTAAGTGTTTCACTCCATGAAAGAGATTGTCAGGATGGCTTGGAAGTGACACATGTTTCTAATTTAGGGAACTGTCTTTTTTTCTTATTAACAAGGCCAGAACCCTCTAGTCAAACCTTTCTCTCGGAGACTGTGACTCCACTAGAAGCCTTTTGCCTGTACTGTGACACTGCTGTGGTTGCAACATGGGTACAGATACATAAGCAGAGCTGGGCTCTCAATGTTGAAGGGGAAAAGCAAGCACTACTGACTAAGTGTGGCTCTCCTAGAATAATTTTATCTACACAAGTATCCTTATCGCTGTCATATCTGTGTCTATTGGGGTTGAACATTCTCTTTCATCTTACTGGCAACAATGCTGGTTGTATAACTCTGTCCTACAGCAAAACAAAAAAGGGTCAGACTTTGCCTGCAGTAAGACAGAGTAGTGCTCAGGCATTATTGATTAATAAGTAGTCTTTTTTTAATAAATATTTTCTTTGTATCTATAAGGTTACTAACTTGCATTAGCTCATTCTTCATGACACCTTCTTCATGACATTCTACTTTGCTACTCACCAAAAACGTGGAAGCATTTTTAGTATTTTCTAATATTGGGGAGCGTGCATCCAGCTTACAGCATCAAGTGAAAAAGGGGGAAATGTCGCAGCATGGAAGGCCTTACTACAAAACGTTCTTCTCTTACTGCTGCCATTGCCATCACAGAACTGAATTAGTTCAGTTAACCAGATGCAGAGCAGCAGCTTTAGAGGCCCATTCTAATAGCTGCTTTCTTTTACTAAACGTTCCTATACAAGATAAACACTGGAAATGAGCAGTTTGCTCTAAGTGAAATGGAACAGGAAAGTAACATTTTAACAGTACTTACTGGCAGCCTTGCAAGAGTACTTGTGGGCAGTAATATAGCTCAAGATCTAGATATGGATAAGTGCACTCCGCACTAGGTTAAAAACTGGCTGGACGGCCGAGCCCAGAGAGTGGTGGTGAACAGAGTCAAATCCAGTTGGGGGCCAGTCACGAGTGGTGTTCCCCAGGGCTCAGTGTTGGGGCTGGTCCTGTTCGATATCTTCATTGATGATCTGGATGAGGGGGTTGAGTGCACCCTCAGTAAGTTTGCAGATGACACCAAGTTGGGTGGAAGTGTCGATCTGCTGGAGGATAGGAAGGCCCTGCAGAGGGACCTGGACAGGCTGGATCGTTGGGCCGGGGCCAACTGTATGAGATTCAACAAGGCGAAGTGCCGGGTCCTGCACTTGGGTCACAACAACCCCATGCAACGTTACAGGCTGGGGGAGGAGTGGCTGGAGAGCTGCCTGGCTGAAAAGGACCTGGGGGTGTTGGTTGACACCCAGCTGAACATGAGCCAGCAGTGTGCCCAGGTGGCCAAGAGGGCCAATGGCATCCTGGCTTGTATCAGGAATAGTGTGGCCAGCC